AAGTGATGAAGATTATGCTGAAGCAGAAGAAGAAAAGAGAAAGAAACCAAAACCTGCGATTTCCTGTGATTATCCCTCTGTAAATGAAAAACAACTTTCAGAAGAAAAACCGACTTCCTGCTTTAGTGAATGCCTTGATCCTTATGCCAAAGATATTCCTCACATAGGACACCCTCTAGACCCTCCCCCAAGAGTTGGTATTGCTAAAACTGGTGAGGAACCATGTATTTTTCCCATGGCTCAAAAGCTCAAAAACCTACAGAAAACTCTTGATAACGAGAGAGAGAGAGATTTGAAACTGAAAAGAAAGGTTTTGAGCGCAACTGGCAGGAACTTCTCCAAAAATTTAATGATTTGAGTGAACAGTTTCATGCTAAAACAGACCCTTCTACGACCAAGCCTGACAGCTCACACACCTCACATGAGAAAAACAATGCTTTTAAAGGTTCGTCCACTCAACTCTCTTCTCCTTTGTTTACAGGGAATGAAGTGAATAAGGAAGGAGAAGAGAAGAATGAGTGGAGGAAAAAGAGGAAGGAAATCGCAGATGGCAAAAAGAAAGTTTTTGAGAAAAGTGTCAGCCCTAGATCTAGTTCAATATTTTACTCAAAAGTTAATTGTAATTCTGTCTCTACAAAGCAAACTTCTAACAGTTCAGTCTTGAGTCCCAAGCTGAATATTTCTGAGACATCTTCTAGACAAAGTTCTATTTATAATACAAGTGTTGCTTATGGTTATTCTGTTCCAGATCCCCATAATTATGAATGTGATATGAATGTTGTTAAATCTAAGCCTCACAGAAAGCTTAAACCTGAAAAAGAAACCAAGAAAGGAACCTCTAAGGGAACGTTTTGTATTCCAGATATGAAATATGCCCTTAGAGTTCATTCTAGGAAACATGTTAATCGGCTTTCTAAGGAGGAGATTTTTAAAACCAAACTCAAGAAACAACCGTTCAATCACAAAGCACCTGTCTTCTCTCCTCCTGAACCTAAAACGAAAAGATGGGTCCCCAAGATAAGACCCGTCAAAACTGAAACGGAAAGGTGGGTTCCCAAGATGAGACCTACCAAACCTGAATCGAATAGGTGGGTCCCCAAACGAAGACCCATCCAAACTAAAACTGAAAGGAGGGTTCCCAATCGTAGACCCATCATAACTGAAACTGAAAGGTGGGTCCCCAAACTTAGACCCACACGGACTAAAATGGAAAGGTGGGTTCACAACATCAGACCCACCAAAATGGAAAGTGCTAGGTGGACTCCAAAAACCAGACACACTGCAAAAGCAGATCTGGCAATTGGAAAGCCCATCGAAGATAGATCTTTTGTTGAAAGAGCAGCTGACCTTGGATCACTGCTCAAAGCAAGTTTTAAAAAGGTGTTTCTTGATAATAAGGAAGGACCCACTCCAAGTTGGGTACCTAATCCTATTTGATTGTTTTGCAGGACGGTCATGTGTGGCACTTGGACTCAGGATGCTCAACCCACATGACCGGAATAAAGCACCTTTTGAGCAACTACACCAACTGCTACGGAGGAAATGTCAGATTCGGGAATGACGCCTCATCTCCTATCCTTGGGTATGGGGACGTCATCTGTGCCAGTGTCACAATAAAAGATGTTTCATTCGTCAAAGGGCTCAAACACAACTTACTGAGCATTGGACAATTCTGTGACAGCGGGATGGAAGTGAGGTTCTTTGCAAAACAATGCTGTGTTCTTGACAGCACATGGAATACATTATTAACGTGTTACAGAACATCAAATCTGTACACTATTGATCTGAAAAGCGTCCAATCCACCACTTCCATCTGTCTGCTGTCCAAAGCCTCAACTGAACAGAACAACCTATGGCACAGACGTCTCTCCCATCTGAACTTCAAATATCTATCAACTTTGTCCTCCAAGAAACTTGTCAAGGGGCTTCCTCTGCTAAAGTCTTCCGCTGAAAATCATTGTAGTGCCTGCAAAATGGGCAAAATGACGCGAAGCTCCCACAAGTCAAAATCTGAACCTTCATCTACTCATCAGTTGCAGCTAATACACATGGATCTGTGTGGACCTATGAGAGTTCAAAGCATCAACGGTCGCAAATACACTCTGGTGATCGTTGATGACTTCTCTAGGTATACATGGACAAAATTGCTACGATCAAAAGACGAAGCTGCGGAAAACATTATGACCTTTATCAGAACGATCCAGAAACTGCTACAGCACAGTGTTCGAATTGTCAGAACTGACAATGGTACCGAGTTCAAAAATCAGACTCTCACTGAGTTCTATGAATCACTCGGTATCACTCAGCAATTTGCAGCAGCTAAAACTCCCCAGCAGAACGGAATTGTTGAGAGAAAGAACAGAACCCTTGTTGAAGCAGCACGCACCATGTTAATCCAATCAAGACTGCCTCACTTCATGTGGGCAGAGGCAATCAATACCGCGTGCTTCACTCAGAACAGAACCTTCATCCACAAGCGCTTCGACAAGACTCCATATGAGATCCTATTCAACAAAACTCCTGATATTTCTTTCCTCAAAGTTTTTGGCTGCAAGTGCTTCATACTCAATGATCGGACAGAGAGAAGTAAACTGGATCCCAAATCCAGAGAAGGCGTGTTCATTGGCTACTCACTGCAATCCAAAGCTTACAGAGTCTATCTCAGAGACAAGCGGACTGTCATCGAGAGTGTAAGCGTTACATTCTATGAAATGGCAGACTTTGCTATTGAACATCTCCAGACCGATCCATCCACTTCTGTACCAGTAGCTTCTGATAAAGCTGAACCAAACACCGAACACGACGATGTGATTTTCGACTCTCTCTTCAGAAACTTTTACGAGAACTCACAATCTCCACCTCCTGCATACACTCCAGAGTCAACATCAACTCCAACAGCAGAGATTCCGCTCCTCACAGGACCAGATGACGTACCATCCACACCCTCAACCCCTCAAACCAATCCCAGAGGTGTGGATGATCACGGCTTTGCCATAAGTCCGGAATCATCTCCACTACACACCACAGCTGCCCCAGAGCCTTCAAACTCATATCAGGACTCAGATCAACCAATAATAACTCCAACTCCTTTAGCTCATGAGAGGAAGTGGACAAAAGCACATCCTGTTGAACAGATAATAGGTGATCCAAGTCAAGGTGTGCGAACGAGATCAGCAACAACAAATGAATGTCACTATGCATGCTTTCTAAGCAAGAATGAACCATCCAAAGTCTCAGAGGCACTCGCTGATCCAGATTGGGTGATTGCCATGCAAGATGAGCTCAATCAATTTGACAGACTAGATGTATGGACACTCGTGCCTAAACCCCCTCAGAAAACCATCATTGGCACAAAATGGGTGTTCAAGAACAAGAAGGACGAAGAAGGCATGGTGATAAGGAACAAGGCACGACTGGTCGCTAAAGGATATAATCAGCAAGAGGGCATAGACTATGATGAAACATTTGCACCCGTAGCAAGAATTGAAGCAATCCGCCTTTTTCTTGCGTACGCGGCCCACAAGAACTTTACTGTCTTTCAAATGGACGTCAAGACTGCCTTTCTGAATGGAGTCTTGGAAGAAGAAGTCTATGTCGCTCAGCCCGAAGGATTCATAGATCCCAGATATCCCGACCATGTGTACAAGCTGAAGAAAGCTCTGTATGGGTTAAAACAGGCACCAAGAGCTTGGTATGATGCCTTAACCGAATTTCTGGTTGATTCAGGTTTCTCAAAAGGGAAGATTGATACCACACTTTTTATCAAGCGACAGCAGTCTGACATCATCCTGATTCAGATCTATGTTGATGACATTATCTTCGCCTCCTCTAATCCACGCCTGTGCAAACACTTTGAGAAACTGATGATAACCAAGTTCGAGATGAGCATGATGGGAGAACTGAATTTCTTCCTAGGCCTGCAAGTAAGACAACTCTCTGACGGCATTTTCATCAATCAGTCAAAGTATATTCTGGAAATGCTTAAGAGATTCAAAATTGATGGCAAATCTTCCATGACGACCCCCATGTCCCCAACCAACAAACTGGACTCAGACCCCTCCGGGAAGCCAGTTGATGCTACAAACTACAGGGCTATCATTGGATCTTTGCTATATCTCACATCAAGCAGGCCTGACATTGTCTTCTCCACATGCTTATGTGCACGCTTTCAGGCAAATCCGAAGGAATCCCATCTGACCGCTGTTCGAAGAATTCTGAGATATCTCAAAGGCACTGTGAATCTAGGTCTTTGGTATCCCAAGCACTCAGGTTTTGACCTAGTCGGATATTCGGATGCTGACTTTGCTGGTTGCCGGATGGACCGCAAAAGTACATCGGGAGCTGTCCAATTCTTGGGCGATAAGTTAGTCTGCTGGTCTTCCAAGAAACAGAACTGTGTGTCAACATCTACGGCCGAGGCAGAATACGTCGCGACTGCTAGCTGTTGTTCACAAATATTATGGATGAAGACCCAGCTAAAGGACTACGGTTACACACTCCGTCATATCCCGATCTACAGTGACTCTCAAAGCGCCATAGCCATCACCAGCAACCCAGTTCATCACTCCCGCACCAAACACATCGACCTGCGTTATCATTTCATCAAAGATCATGTGAAGAAAGGAGACATTGACATGTATTTTGTAAGCTCAGAGCTTCAACTAGCTGACTTGTTCACTAAGGCATTGGATGAAAAACGATTCCAGTTCCTAGTCTCCAAGTTAGGCATGTTGAACCTCGAGCCCGTTTAATTATGTTTCCACTGATCTAAACAATGTGTGTGTGTGTGGGACCTGTAAAAAGTGTGTGTGTGTGGGATTTGTAAATAGTGTGTGTGCGTTGCATGTGTTGAGGGGGAGAAAACCAGAAAAATAACAAAAAATAGTGTGTGTGCGTTGCATGAGTTGAGTGGGTAAAAAAAAAAATCAAAAAGAACAAAAAATAGTGTGTGTGCGTTGCATTTGTACATATTGTTCGTTGCATTTTTTGAGGGGGAGAAAATTTTCACTGTTTGAGGGGGAGCTATTTTTCACTGATTAAGGGGGAGCTCTAAGTTTTTTTACTGTTTGGGCCTCGAAAATCTTTTAAAAGGGCACTGTGTGTCAGCCCAACTTTACGAAGGAGGTCCATATTTTTCTCGCGTATAAAAGCCTCGCCAAAGCCCTTCTCCTTCTTTCATTCTGATTTTCTTAAAGGCAAAAACTTTTTCGCAAAGACAGAGCTCTCAGACCCTTCTTCTTCCTCTCAACCTTACGATCTCGCAATCTCATTCTCTCTTTCTCGACTACTCTTCGAAGGTAGTTAACGCTCAATAGCAATCACTCTCTCGAAAACGAACGATTCGATCTCGAAATCCAGTTGAAACTTGTTTGTATTCGAAATTCAAAAACGAACGTTTTTTTCTTGAAAAACCTTGTAACTTCTCAAAATCGAAATCAAATCAGGTTGTTTTTGTTTGAATGTATGTCGCAATCCTATTGTGTTCGTGTTTACTATATCAATGTTTATGTTTGCAGGTGGTTTAATCTCTTCTCGAAATCGTCGGTTCATCTTCTCGAAATCAAGATCTCGAGATGGGCATCTCGACATCTTGATCTCGAGATTTGAATCTCGAAATCAAGATCTCGAGATCATCATCTCGATATCTTGATCTCGAGATTTGAATCTCGAAATCAAGATCTCGAGATTTGCATCTCGACATCTTGATCTCGAGATTTGAATCTCGAAATCAAGATCTCGAGATTTGAATCTCGAAATCAAGATCTCGAGATTTGAATCTCGAAATCAAGATCTCGAGATTTGAATCTCGAAATCATGATCTCGAGATTCAGATCTCGAAATTTGGACTTAGAATTTTTTTCCAAAACTCCACCTGCATAAACTTATCTGTCAACTAAATCAAACTCTTTCAATCAAATCAAACTGTTGAATTTCATATGCTGATCCCCTGCTTCTACAGTTTAAAATGGCAGGAAACACTACAGCACAGATCGATGATGCCATCTACTCCAAAGGGAAATGGATCAAGGTACTGGACAACAATTTCCAGCTAGACCTGGCAGTCTTCAAGTGCCAGAACCCAATCATTCCGGCCATAATGAAAGGTCACTATCTCTGGCCTGCACTTCACAATGCCAAACCAGTGCCAGAGATATACCTACAACAGTTCTGGGGGCACATGCACACAGATTCATTGAAGGATCGTTCCAAGATCAAGACCAAGTTGAACGGCATGCGGGTGATTCTGACACCATCCACTCTACGGACTACTCTAGCGCTGCCAGTACACGATACGTATGATGCACTCCCAACCATCCCCGATCTGCTCAAAGACGTGGCATCCCTTGGCTACACATCACTACTGCCACAACTGTCAAATTTCAACGGTGCATACCTCCGTCACCCGTGGAAAAATCTCTTCGGGCTAGTGAACAAGTGCCTGTCGCCGAAGCATGCCGGATTCGACAAATGCAACAAGCAGATCCTGCTCATCTTCCATGGCATTGCCTTCAACAAGAACTACGACATGGCACAGCTCTTCTTCTCAGAGCTAATGGACCTGGTCAAGGCCAAAGAAAAGAATAGGCCAGGTACCATTCCGTACGCTAGGTGGCTTGGGTTGATCATCAACGACCTCATGGCAGAGCATTCAACAATCCCAAAATGCAGCTCCGATCCACATTTTAAAGCCCCAAAGCTGCAATACTTCAAAGCGGACAAAAACCCGACCTATGGTCTGAGGATTCCTGGGTTTCTGCTCAACCTTGTGAGATCTTCAAACCCAGCCATTCAGCAATACAAGGAAGCAATCGAGAAGACCGTCCCTATGGTTCAGCAAAACCCAGCTGGACCTACCCAAGGGACAAAGCCGAGTGATGGTAAGGGTACTAAGAGAGCCCAAAAGCCACAGAAACCAGTGGCCGGTTTGCCCAATGAAGGGAAGTCTGACGACTCTCTAGAGACGAGTCAGGCGGCTGAGGGCACCAAAGAAGACGCTGAGGAAACGGCCAGTGAATCGTCTAGTGGAGCCCAAACAAACACTGACGACAAGGCTTCCGAGAGCGTGGGCACGGAGAGTGAAAAATCGGACTCGGATGATGACGGTGATGACAATGATAGTGATGATGTGGAGCTCACATATGCACTGATTAGAAAAGGGAAGCTGCCCGTCGAATCTCCAAAGAAGAGAAGAATCACTGCTGAAGACGCAACACCAATCATAGCTCGCAGACCTCAAGTCTTCACCATAAAAGAAACAGCTAAACCAAGAGCTGATCCGAGCGAGACTAATTGCTCAAAGGATGATTACGACGAGGCAGCTCACTCCATCAAGACATCAATCAACCAGGAAGAAGTTGTCATCCGAGAGACCAGGGCTAAGGTCAAAAATGACAAAGTTGCTAAGACCAAGCCCCAGCCCCGAGCGAAAAAGAGTCTGTTTGATAAGGCAGACGAGCACATCTTTGCGGGCTGCGACTCCTTTATCCAGATAAGCCGAGC